TTCACTGAAATAATAAATTTGAAATTTTTGATTTTTTATAAATGAATCATAAATTTTTCTGCAAAAAATGATGATAAAACAGTTTCTGTTAAACTTTCGGCACAAAAATATTTCAAATTTATGATTTCAGTTTAATAACTATTTAGTCAACATGTTTAATTAATGTCAATGATGACAGGTATTAATAATTTCGATTCCAAATATCTCGAAAACCATTACTCGTAGCGATTTTTACCAAGAGACCTTTTTTACGTTGAAAATATCGTAAATTTTTTTACTCAGTAGTTTTATACAGGTACGGACGAAAAGTTATTACTCTTCAAACCGGTTAAAAAATATGTAGGTGGCGCCCTCTAGTAGTAGGAGCCATATTGATATCAAAATCAAATTTCTCATGTCAAAATACTCCCAGACACCAGTTTTCATTCAAATATTGACTTTACTTCAGGAATTATTTGGAAAAAATCAAATTAAAAATGAAACTTCTACACCCTGTATCTCCGAAACCAAGCATTTTAGCACATACATTTATACGAACTTTTTTACTTATTTTTATCTGCAAAATATGCTGCCGAAGTTTCCGGAATACAGTTCGGACCACCCTGTATATATTACTAAAAATGTTTTTTATGTTATATTTCCCCCCCCCCCTCCCTTTCATTTTTATTACTGTATTCATACAATCACTCATAATGATTACAATAATTATGATATATTATATACGTTGTTTATGAGTTTATCCAAATCCCTCAAAAAATCCCGTGGAAATCTCCTTTTATTATAAGAATATTAAAAATGAAAAAGTAAAGAATATAATAACTTTAGTTCCTCTTAGTCCTCATCAAGCACTTTATACCGACAAATATTTAATCCCGCATTGTAACCGAAATTATAACCCCTATCCCACGCCCTCTTTTGCTTTAGATTTGAGAAAGTATTCTGTTGTTTAAACAAGTTTTAATTAAAAAGGAAATGTTGCAAGAATCCTGACCGATCCATTATTAACACTTTCTTTAAAATGTCTTAGCGCATTTCCGTTCCGCTTAATCTCGGCGAGTTTAATTTGCGGCGGCTTTTGTCATTTTAATCAACGCTTCCCGGTGCTTTTTAATAGCCCGAGGAGTCGGGCGATATTAGATTTTGAGGCCACGTGTAAGGTTCGTTAAAGACTTAATGGTTTATGCACTAAAAGTACGAAGAGTGTATATGTTACAGTGAAAGTCGGAAATTCAGTGATTGTTAACATTAACTTTTGATTGTTAATTTTCACTATTGGGCATCGGAGGAAGGATTCTTGCAGAAGTTATGTCGGCCCGCCTGCATCCACATATAGAGGGAATACTTCCAGAATCGCAAACGGATTTTCGAACCAACCGCGGCGCCGTCGATTCCATATTTTCCATTCGCCAAGTGCAGGAGGAGGTGAAGGAGCAGCAGTCTAGACTTTGTGTTGCATTCGTCGACCTAGCAAAAGCCTTCGACTCTGTGAACCGAGATGCACTATGGGCAGTTGTGAGGGGGTTCTGAGTGCCCAACAGGTTCCTTACAGTGTGTGGAGGCCTCCATGGGAACAGCGAGTCGGGAGTGTCACAGCGGTCCCTTCCTAACAAATGCAGGAGTTAGGCAGGGATGTGTCTTAGCGCCTCTCCTATTCCACATATTCATGGCAGCGCTCTCCATTATAATTAGTTTCAGTCAATGGAAGTAGGTAGAAAAATTTGAAAAAGAGTGTTAAAAAGCAAGATTTTAAAATAATTTTGGGGCCAAAATTAAACTTCTTTGAAACACTTTGATTTCGATAACTTCCAGAATTATTAAGATAATTTATTTCAGGCGGGTCTAACAAAAACTTTTATTTTTGGTATACAAAGGGTGTATACCACAGGGAATGAAAAAATAAAAAACGGTTTTTAAATTTTCGAATTTTTTTTAAATACATAATAATATTTAAAAAGACTAAAAATGCACTTGAAATTGGCCTATTGACGGCTATATAAATTTTAAGTAAAAAATGTGTAATAAGTCAAAAATAACAAAATCGATTTTTTTGAAAGGATATACAGGGCGAGTCTTAAATAAGTGCAAATATTTTTAGTGGTAGTATATTTTGACCGCAGAAACACGATTTTCACCCCAGTAATACGATTTTTTTTGAGAAATATCTTTTTTGAAAAATTGGAATTTTTTGAAAACTTTTTTTGTATTTTTTTTTTTTAGTTAAAACCCATATTTTTTAGATAATACGGCAATATAGGTAGTAGATTAAATTTACCAGACAGAAAAACCCGAAAAGTTGCAGTGGTTCTCAAAATTTAAGGAAAAAAAATTTTTTTAGGAAATTTTTAAAGTAAAATAACCCTGAAAATAACTCGGTTATTTTGGAGTTATTTGAAAAACGGTAAAAAGAAAATATGGTTATTTTCTCGAGATCTACCAGCCCTGAAAATATTTGCACTTATTCAAGTCCCGCCCTGTATAATACCCAGAAAATCGACAATTATGGCAAACTTTCATGTGAAATACGAGTAGTTCTAAAACTGTTAATAACGTACCTAGGTACGTATAATAATGCATTTGTGTGTAAGGGGGGGGGGGGCTCACTAGCTCTATCCATAAAGAGATAAACAATCATTTAAATCAATGCATGAACGATTCGAGGTATAACGCGAACGAAGTCGCGGGAAAAAGCTAATATTTATTTATAATAATACTAGCGTGTACCAGCGACTTCGTTCGCGTCGAATTAATCATTTGTAATGGTGATTGTAAAGCAAAGCAAGAATTTCCATTAAATACAAACTGGATAAAATTTTCTCACATTTATGTCAGCATGAGAAAAAACAATATGGCGATATTATTATATAACTTGGTAATATTTGAGGGGTAGTTTCATCTCGTTGGAATTTGACTTTCGAAAAATCCGTTTGCCAAAAATAAGCTTTTTACGTCAAGCAGTTTAAGCAGAATCGTGGTTAAGAAATTACCCAACTTTTTGGAACACCCTGTATGATTTTTTAAAAAATTTCAAAATATGTAAAAAAAATCAAATAAATTATGCTTGTCCAAGTGTTTTCCCGAAAGACTAACGGTTTTTTAAATATCAAATATTGTAATATTTGAGGGGCGTTTTCACCCTCTTGGAATTTGAGATTCGAGAAACCCCTCCTTATCGAACCTCTACACCCCACAGTCAATCCGCTTGCCAAAAATCAGCTTTAAACGTCAAGCAGTTTAAGCAGAATCGTGATTACTCAATGGTCATATTTTATGAAACACCCTGTATAAATTTATAAAAAATCTTAAAATATATAAAACAACAAAATGAAATATACGTGTTTAAGAGTTTTTCCGAAAAACTCACCGGTTTTTAAATAAAAAATATTTTAATATATGAGGGATAGTTTCACCCCGTTAGAATTCGAGTTTCGAAAAATCCCTTCTTATCGAACCTCTACACCCTAAAGTCAATATGTTTTCCAAAAATCAGCTTTTTACGTCAAGCGCTTTAAGCAAGATCGTGATCAATCAATGACCAAATTTTTCAAAACACCCTGTATACATTTTTAAAAAATCTTAAAATATGTAAAAAAACAAAATATAATATACGTGTTTAAGCGTTTTTTTCGGAAACTTGACCGTTTTTTAAATAAAAAATATTGTAATATTTGAGGGGTGGTTTCACCCTCTTGGAACTGGAATTTCGAAAAATCTCTTCTTATCGAACCTAGAATCAACCTGTATGCCAAAATTGAGTTTCTTACGTTGAGTGGTTTGAGCAGGATCGTGATTAATCAGTATGTTAGTCACTTAAGGATTTTATATTTAGTATAGATTATTAGTTTTAGACAATAGTTTTAGAGATATTAATAAATAAATAAAAAAATATATATTTTCAGCCTTTCTTAAACAAACTATTAAAAATAGAAGAATTGTCCTGAAATCAAAACTATAATAGGTACTTACTTCAGATGATCTGTACTATACTTTGCTATAAATGTGGTAATCGTAAATCAAACAGGATGTTCAAAATTCTACGCCAAACTTTTTAAAATATAAAATAATCTTTCCTCTTTTTTTTTAAATGGTATTATTTACATATATATTATTATATCAATATTATATATTATATTATACTGGTATATTATTTTTTCAATAAATGGATAAAAATAAATATTTTTGTAATTAGATTATTTCAAAAATTTTAACAAAAATTTGAAGAAACAGGTAAAAAAATAGTAGAATACAATTTGCGATATTAAATCATAGACTTTATTATACAGGGTCGCTGATATATATAAAAACGTTCGATTATTGGGTAAAATATACGAGGTCCCGCAAAAAGTTAAATATAAAAATTATATATAGGGTTTCTAAATGTCTATTGGCGAGAAATAAATTTAAGTATAGAGTATACATATATAGGTAAATCTAAGTAAACTGTTATAAATCATAAATAATAATGTCCATAAAGTATTGTCGACTTTGAAAATAGTTACTAACTGTCACTAGAAAATTGCCATGGCAACACCAACCATCTTGATTGCAATTTTATTTAAAAATAGCTTTTTATTCAAAAGCTGAGCTATATAGGTATAGGAAACCCTAATATAGTTTAAAAGATCATTCAAATCTGCTTCGATTTATTTAAAAAAATACAGAGTGTTGCATTTAAAATAACGAAGTTTTTATATAAAATAAATCCTTAAAATAGATCAGCACTTTTGATACCCCTGTATAAATTTAAGGAAGCAATGATATTTTTAAGTAAAGCACAGATAACACATAATCCAGATGGCTCCTTACGTGTTAAAAATTGTCACCCCAATTTCACTCCAATTTGGAAAAATATTGGAGTGACGTTTGAATAATCTGAAATTTTTAGATTCCTTTTCTAACTTTTTTGGGAGGTTTTGCTTCTCTTGCACAGATGTCGCTTGCACTTCAGTTGCGTGGTTGCCAAACGTTATATCGAAATATATTTCATTTCATTATGAATTATGAATATATAAAATTAAAAATTATGTAATTTATAAACATGAAATAGATATGGATGTTAGGTAATACCGGATGTTAAATTAATATATAAATATTTAACTTAATACGTACATTATTATTTTATTAATTTATCGTCACACGTCATTTACCAGTTGCCTAATTACGAAAAGTTTCATATGATATTAACCTCAAAAATGATCTTTGAAAACAAACAACAACAAATAACTCAAAGAAATAACTACATACTACATAATAATAACTGATAATAATGACTTTTAATGGTATAAAGGCTGATGAAGGTAATTATAAACATTATTTTGAGTTTGTTTAATAAAATATAGGATACAATATAACTAAGCAAAATCAAACAGTTTTAGACAACCAATACAAGATTCAGAACTCGGCATCGCGATAAACAAGTAAAATTGTACATTCAGGAACTCGTTTAAATATTATAGGTAAGTAATATTTTCACAAAAAGTAAACATAAAGTAATATAGAATATTACCTGTGATAAAATGTTAATTAGTGACGTATATTTATTCTAATCAGATTTAAATTTAAACTCAAAATTTTCATAAAGAAAATGATAATTTTTCATAGATATAAAGTAAATAATATTACATATTTCAGGTTGATTGAAGAATAATCTACAATTGATTAGAGCCTATGACGATGCGAAGATAATTAATCACCTAACTTTAAGAAACCAGCCTAAAGAAGTTTACATGCATCTCATCTAACCATTATAGGTAATAATTTACAAAATTAGTCATTTTGATTATAATATTATGGTACTTAGGTACATTTTATCTTCTAGATCAGTAGTGATTTTTCATAATTTGAATGAACTCACAGATAGCAATGGGGCACCGCACCGAAGCAGTATTACAAAATGTGAAATAAAACTGTAGTACATATTGCTCTATAAAATTTAATAGAAATAAATTTATTTATGAAAATTAATGAAGTTTTATCTTTCCTAGGAAAAAAATAACAATTATATTTTGAACAATTAATTTAGAACATTAGAGTTAAAAAAAAAATATATATGTGTTAGAAATTGTAACACATATTTTTAACTCTATGTTATTCTAACTTAGAATAACATATTTTTAATAAAATTGCGCTTATACTTTATACTTTTTTGCTATTATATCAATAAGAACTAACGTAAGGAGCAATTCATTTATACTATAAACACACATGCATATTTTTTGATCTTTTTAAAACCAGTGAATAATGTTGAAATATGCTACACCTATTAATTCTTATTAACTAACTTTATAGCTAGACAGTTGAAAATTTTACAGATAATGTATCTATGTTGCCGCTATAAGAACAAATACTAAAAACAGAATTAAATAAATGTTTATAAATAAAAAAGTACTTTCACTAAACATTATCGTTTAAGTAAGAATTTTACACAGAATATTGAAGTCCTCGAGTGGCCGTGTGGTTAAAGGCGTTAGGATTTGAAGGCGTTGAGACGTAGTGAGGCAGGTTCGAATCGTAGGCAAGGTGACTTTTTTTCTTAATCTTTTTTTTTATTTTTACATATTTTTACATATTTATTTTTACTTATTTATTATTGATTAATACAATTTTTAGCAATGTATTTCTTCATTTTTTTTAAATTACTTACAAGCGCATTCAAAATTTCAGCTAAATCGGAAAAAAGTTTACAATAATATAATGTCTGATGTTGTATAGATAATGTGTGAATGGTAAATTCAATGATAATGAACCCTTCGTGCGCGAGTCCGACTCGCACTTGGCCAATTTTTTTTGTTAATTGAAACGTTTAGAATTTGAATATTCGTTCAAAATTTTTTTTTTAATAAATTTATTTATGATAAACAATTTATTAATGAAAATAATGTGACCGAATTTCCTGGAAAGTTTGTCAAATTTGTACATATGAAAACCTAGCTTTACCACTTATCATAGAAAATCTCTATTCCTTCCCTTATCACGGAATAATAAAGGAACGAACCATATGCGACAAAGATAGAAGATTTAGATATGTCGTTACTGTCTTTTGTTTTTAACGGATATTTTAAAAGGCGGGTAATTTACCTTTGACTGTCTTTGATTATAACTGTGTGTGATTAGTGATAATAAAATTATTATTAAAATGTCTGGTAATAAGTGCCAATTTTATAATTGTGGGATTTCTCGGAAATCAGGTGTACATATGTTTAAGTTTCCTGCGTCAAGAGATCCTAATTTATGTACAAAGTGGATAGAAAATTGTGGTGAGTTCATTCATATAGAATTTTTTTGCACATTTTGTATGTAAAAATACGGCGTTAAGTTACCTTAGAAATGGTGATCGATGGCTTTTACCATATACCGTATGATCGAAAAAAAACGGCGTCAGCGATGGCTATGAAATGAAGATCGCTGTCATTTGATATGTAAAATTATATGGGGAATGTCATCGACCATCATTTCCAAGCCAATCGGACGCCTTTTTTTTTGGATCATACGGTATAATTTAACACATTAAGAATTGTCCATCGTTATTTCTTTATCTATGCAAAGTTTATGATGGATAAATCAAGTAATTAAGTGGATATAAATTATAAATGAATCAGTGAACATAAACTGTTATAAATTATAAGTAATGCAATTATTGAATATACCATACGATCGAAAAAAAAACGGCGTGGGAGTGGGCTTGGAAATGAAGCATATATAGATTAATTGAAAGCATTTTATAAAAATATAGTTATACAGGGTGTCCCCAAAAAGTTATACATTAAAGTTGTTTTTGTAATGGAATACCCTATATATTAATTGATTTTTGGATTCCAGGAAAAAATAAAGGTGTGTTTTATTAAAGAAGCATGTGCCTAGAATGTAAGGATTTTGACATATTTCACATTTTGTGAAAATGAAGAATAAAATTTAAATTTCAATAACAGCTATCTATATTGTAATTTATCCTGTATAGCCTGATATTTAGTTACAATAACCATAATATGTTAAACCAAATTAAAATGTGACAGGAAAAGTTATACAGGGTGGGACAAAACTTATATTGAACATTTATCACTTTGAAAAGCAAGTTATTCCTTTATTTTAAATGGAACACCCAGTATATTATTTCCGTGTTCAATGGGGAATTCATATATCTTCAAAATATTATTAAGGTTGCCTACCCCTCTAACAAAGATTTTCCTAGATACTTTCATTTTTTATGATTTTGCGTCAGTAGATCTTTATTATTTGAAAAAAATCTAGGTGGCTGTGTTAATTTATCAAAAATTAAAGGATGTAGTATAAAATACTATAATAAAAACATACGTTTAAAACATATATTAATTATCACAGAATTAAAATTAGATATAAATGTATAATTATATAACAAAAATTTGAATCTAAAAGTAGAATCATATCAATTCTTTCTGATGTAGGATAAGTTTCTATTTTCGGAAAATTTCTTAGATTTTTTTTGTTTCAACTGACGAACTGACACAAAAAATAATAACTAGTTGCTAAAGTTAACTAATTTGACAGCTATGTTGAAGTAACGTCAGACATATCACAGCCACCCTAGATTTTATCAAATAATAAAGATCTATTCACACTAAATCATAGAAATGAAAATATCTAGGAAAATCTTTGTTTGAGGGGTAGGCCGGCAACTTTAATAGTATTTGGAAGTGACATGAATTTCCCATTGAATATCGGAATAATATTCTGGGTGATTCAATTAAACTAAAGGAGTTATACAGGGTGGGTAATAAAGGAGTTATACAGGTTATACCAATGTTCAGCATTAATTTTGCCCCACCCTGTATAACTTTATGGGTCAGGGTTTAATTTGATTTAAAGTGCAATAGAGTAAATTCCAATTTAGGTAGTTTTTCTTGAAATTTAAAAATTGTTCTTCAAAATCTTAAGTAAGTCTAAAACCTTACATTTCAGTCATATACTTCCCTAATAAAATACACCTTTATTTTTCTCTTAGAATCTAAAAATTAATTAATAAAGGGGGTATTCCGTTACAAAAAAACACAAATTTGATGTGTAACTTTTTTTGGGGACACCCTGTAGAACGCTCTATATTTTTAAAACGTGCGCAGAATTAACTTACATATGCTCACAAAATTTCATTTTAATACGAACTGGTCGTTCTCCTTGGAGCCTCCGAGTCGTATGAGAGGCGCCACCCTGTATAATTTTTATATAGTTGCACTTTAATAAATTGTTAGTTAAAACTAACAGTCCTACGAGTGTGGAATTTTGTACAGGTGGATTTTGGACATTTATCTCCTAAGAGAGTGAAATAAGGGATGAAAATTTGTACAAACATTTGTTAAAATCGGGTTTAAAAGTATGAAATTCTGTTTGTTCCTTATGTAACGTAATTTAGCAATAACAAGCATTTTTTTTTCAGAACGTCCACACCTCATTTCACCCCGTTAGAGGGCGAATTTCCAAAAATTGTTCCTGAGTGCTAAATTACGTTACATAAGGAACGTCTGCGCAAAATTTCATACTTCCAAAACCGATTTTAATGAATTTTTGTACAAATTTTCATCCCTTAATTCTTATGGGGCGAATGCCTAAAATTCGCTTCTGAGTACTCACTTTCATCACTTGAGGAACCTCTGTGCAAATTTTCATACTTCTAGGACAGATTTTTTTCAGAAAGTTCACCCCTCATTTCACCCCCTTAGAGGGAAAATTTCCTAAAATTGCCTCTTAGTGCTAAATTAAGTTACATAAGGAACGTCTACGCAGAATTTCATACTTCTAAAACCGATTTTAACAAATTTTTATACCAATTTTCATCCCTTATTTCTTAGGGGATGAATGTCCAAAATTTGCTTCTGAGTACTCACTTTCGTCACTTAATTAACAATTTCCAAATTTCAAACTCCTCGGACTAATTTTAAAAAAGTATGCAAAATTTCACCCCCAGTTTCACCCCTTAGTAGAAGAATTTCCTAAAATCGCTTTGTATAATCGAACTGTTAAGTTACGCTACTTAAGGCACCTCTGTGCAAAATTTCGTAGTCCTAGGACATGCTTTTTTTTGTATACAAAAGTACCCCCCATATCACCCCCTTAACGAGCGAATTTCCAAAAATTGCCCCTTAGTGTTCAATTACGTCAGTCAAGGAGCACTCGTGAAAAATTTCATACTCTTAAACCAGATTTTAACAAATTTTTATGCAGCTTTTCATCCCTAATTTCACCCCCTTAGCGGTCGAATTTTCAAAAAATCCCTTCTTAGTGCTCATTTACATCACTTAAGGAACCTATGTGCCAAATTTTATTTATTACTATATAGATAACCTTTACCCTTATTTTCAGCTAATGAATATTAAGAGACAAATAATAAAAATAAAATCTAAATTATAAATTTCATGGCTATAAATAGCATATATATTCATCTAGAAATTCTGACTTTCAAACATCCACTGCGACTAGTATTTTCATATCCAATTGTATAGTATTAAAGTCCGAATATACATTTTCCCTGGGTTTGACCGGGAATTTGCTTATAAATATGAACAACCGGCTACGTCGCTTCACATCGCGTGGCCGTGGTGTGGCTCGAAATTCGTTCGTTTTAAAAATATTATTAGATTTGGCTATAGGCGCCCTCTGTGTCATTAATAGGGAACTGTCTCATCGAAAACATGCTGTTCCGTAAGCAATGGCCATCTGGATTATGTGTTATCTGTGAGTAAAGTTTATTTCTTTACCTTTAAACTCAGCATAAGAATTAATTCTGAAAAGTAATGTACAGGGTGTTAATAATAATCTATTCTGTTGTAGCATGCAAATTTAAATCTTTAAATATCTCAAAAACCAAAGATTTTAAACATATTTAACCCTTATAATAAATGCCTTTTTTGGGTCCAAGAATACAAAAATAAAATAAAATACCCGGTGTTCCATAAGAAAAAATATAACTTTGATATGTATCTTAGTTCTGAAACACCCTGTATATTTCAAAATAATTTTAAATTATGCACATTGCCTCCCCACATATACCCATAAAATATTTCGTTTCTACATCTTTTTGTTTTCGAATAATCAACCGAGGCGAATGAGGTGCGCCAGCCTGTATTATTACTATTTATTAGAGAGAAAATTAATAATAAAAGATAAATAAATATTGCGTCTCTTCATAAAAATAGAAATAATAATTATATGACAAAGATATAAATTTAAACATCAGGAAGTACTGAGTAATTAAATGCCATCTCCTAAAACGTTTTTATAACGCTAGTGGAAAAAGAAAGGTGATTCTTTTATGCTGACGGTAAGTGCAGCCATTAGTCTTTCAACCCCACTTTTACGATAATAAAGTTAGTCTTTTAATTGATTCTGACGTTACATTGACGCGAACGCGCAGAATTAGGTTAATATTTCTTCTTTGGCGATAAAATTAGAACACTAATTGTCAGTCGTGTTTGTGAGTAGTTTCTTTGAAAGCGCTTTGACCTAAAAAGTTAATTTCCAATTTCATTAGATAGAGAATGTTAATAATATAGAATGCACCCTTGTAACGGATGACGGATGTTCCTTTGAGTAAAAATCCTTATCTTCTGGATTGTGCGGACTTGTGCATTTCAGTTCATTTTAGTATTGAAAATACTTCTGGCCGCATTTACATGGGACCCGTCTTTGAAAAAACGACATGCTCGATGCCACACGATTTCAATAACCTGCCTAATCCACTTGTCAACACGTAAGTCGATAGTTTAGCCGGCGTTGGTCATCGAATAGAGCAAGGACGTTTGAGGGCCGAAATGAGGTCTTATTAATTTATCGGTGGGCCAACTAATTTATGGATATGGATGTTTGTCTGGGCCGGCAGATAAAGAAAGCCCATATTATTATAAAAAAGAATATGCGTCAAGGCATATGGGTTGTTAGGTACAGTTTGGCTATTTTAATCTAACTCTTTCAGTATGAGAAGCAAGGGGCAAATTATACGTGAAAGAGCGGAATCACATAAATAATAAATTTAGACTAATGCAATATTTTTTCTTGGCGCGTAGGATAGATAAATACATTAATGGGAATAAATAATTAAATCATTAAGTTCCAAAACATAATAACTCGGGTCTCATCGGATCTGCTGATATATTTTGCTAAAATTTAGGGTATTAGGACCTATATTTTTTATGATTATTATTTTTTTAATTAACAACTTAGGACAAAGAAAAAGCTTGCATGGTTTCCACCGCCAACAGGCGTAAAAACAAATGAATCCAAGGCGTTGCAAAATATTTTTTGGGATAAGTTTTTATCATTTGAGTATTGTTGTAAATAATAATTATCATTTAATTAGTGATAACCTATCAAAGGTCACAACATGGCGAAATTTCAACAAAATCGGCCAACGGATCTTTGAGATATTAATCATATATTATATCACAAGACCGATAATTTAATCGATTAAACTATTCAAATATATTTTGCGCGTGATTTTGGTTGGAAAATAGTTGAATTGCACAATAATTTAATAAAAACCCGAGACCGCGAAGCGGTCGATTGTTTTTATTCTAAAATTATTGTGGATGAAACTATTTTCTAAAAAGCAAAATCATGCAAAAAAATATTTGGGGAGTTTAATCAATTAAATTTATAGGTTGAATGATATACGGCTAGATTATTTCCTGAATGAAGCGAATGACTTAGGATGAAGCAAATTACTATAAGAATTTTAATAAAATTTAAAGACGTTTCAAAATGACGTATCGTAAGTAATGTTTGTGTTTCTGCTACCTTGGTTACGCATCCCAACAATGCATCGAGGACCGTTTCGCATGTCAACATATCAAATTCTGACGTATTTTTCTCCACTTATTTGTTCAAAATAATATCGAATAAGGGGTTTTCACCGATTAAAATTGTTATTAAGTCATACATACGAGTTGTAAATCAACATTTTTAAATGAACTGGTGCTAAAATCTCTCAGAATAAGCCCCATACTCACACTTCGCTACTTCACTTCGTTCCTTCCTCGCGTGCCTTCGTCCAAAAATCATATATTTACTATGGGAAAATGTCGATTTTATGCGACTGTGTGCTCCTTCCTCCTTCGTCCGTTTACTTCCTCGAAACGCTCCTTCCACGTATTGTCGGTTTTTGGAGGAAGTAGCAAAGGAATTATCACGAACACAAAAAAATATTAAAATATATAAAATATATAAATCGATCTTGGATTTCATTCGTAATTGATTTCTTGATTTGGCAGTACGTCTGTACAGGGTGTCCCATTTTTGTGTGTTTTGCAGGGTTTCTCGTTTATGAGTCGAAATACAAAGATGCGGTTTTCACATTACGCTGTTACTTTTTTATGAAACTAAAGATGCTACATACAGATATGTCCTAGCTCTCTTACTTCCTAAAATACAGGGCGAATCTGAAATTATTGCATTTTTCGATCCCCTTTGTATCATAACTTATCGAAAAGGCGAAAACGGTCTCCTGTACAGTTTTTCACGTAGAATGCAGTGACGTAACTATTTCTTCGTTGGAATCTGTCTTTTTTTAAATTGACTAAAACTTATATGTTTTTTTAAATACGAAATTTTGTATATTATTTTATTTTCCTTGTTACGAGCTTTCTAAAATACTTATTTTCATAAACGGGGTAAAAATGCATTATTTAACTTTATTACATAGTCGGCCGGTTTAAATTAGGTAATCAAAACAATCAACTAATTTATTCGACGTAAAATGTTGGTTATTGGCATGTTATTTAAAAGCAGCACAAGTTCAGTTTCCGTGTAGTTTATCAAAATATCACGATGCAAAGCAAAATTGTCTGGTAAAATTAAGTTCAATAAAATAAGAGCCGTTTAGCAGTTTAGCAGTACCTAAATAAATAAATATGTATAGAGTATATTATAATTTTCGAAAGCTCATAACAAGGCAAATAAAATAAAAAGTAATATATAGAGTGTCCTGTTTAAAAAAAAGAACATAAGTTTGAGTCATTTTTCGAAATAGACAGCGCCCAACAAAGAACCACTTTCGTCACTGCCATTCTACCTGAAAAACGAGACACGGGCGGTGGGTAAGTACTCAATAGGTAGAACAAAACAAAAAATCAGGGTATCCGATATATACCTGTACATTTAGATGAACAGTCTAATTTTATAAAAGGTATTTCCAACGACCGCATAGTAAATACCCGATATAATACCAGTAATGTCAGGAATACGAGTATATCTACAATATTTCTTATATATATATATATTGTAGATATTATATATTGGTATATTTCTATTCCCGGTATTATACCGGGTATTTACTATGCGGCCGTCGGAAACTCCTTTTATTAAAATTAGGATGTTCATCTAAATCTACAGGTATATACATATATATCCAGATTTTATTTATCTACAAATTGGGTTCTTACTCACCGCCCATCACTGACCCTTTTCACCTTTTCGATAAGTTATAAGATAATCGAGATACAAAGGTTATCGAAAAATGCAAAAATTTCTACTAATTAAAAAATAAAAAGTAAAAGAAAGAAATAAGAAATAACTTTGAACTAAGAAGGCTAGGATAAATACATATTTATCCTAGCCTTCTTAGTTCAAAGTTATTTCTTATTTCTTATGTAGCATATTTAGTTTCATAATAAGTAGAACAATGATGTGAAAACAGCATCTTTATATCTCTACTCATAAACCAGAAACCCCATAAAACACACACAAATGGGACATCCTGTACATCTAGCAATCGCCAGTCGATAAAAAAATAATTCACACACAATAGTCTAAAAAATGGAAGAAAAAAACAATATTGTCTTCATATTTGTGAAAAAATGCATGTCCATATTTATGTAATCGTAGCGACAAAAATAAAAAATAGAAATAATGTGCATGATGCCTTTACAAAAATATCTGAAGAAATGGGGATTGACATCATTAACGTTTAATTAGTATGTCATATTCAAAGACATCTAAATATAGGTAGACAGAACACTCCATTCATAAAACTCAATTTTTTAGAATCATACATGGTTTGGCACTTTTATGAGAGTTAAAAAGAGATGGGTACATAAATATGACAACACGGTTGAGTTTCGTCTGTCTTTCTGTCATTTCACTCCATCAGTGGCGTGACGGTGGTGTGGTGTTTTTATCAAAAATTTTAAAATAGTTATTTTGTGTATTTTAATTTAAATTTTAATTTGTAATATACGTAGTAATATCGATAATATACAATGTAGGGGCGTTTGCACCAAGTTTTTTAAGCAAAAACTTAACACTATGTTTAGCTTATTTTCTTGCACTATGCTTTAATCTAACTTGAATTTATATTTAAATTAAGCGGTCAAATTTCCAGGCTAGTGGTCACTTAACCTATCTTAGACACAAAAATATTGTTTTACGAGGAAGAATTATTATTATTCCTTTGAGAAAGCTAAAAAATGTATTATGATACCTCTAAGTAAGTTCGATGATTACTTTTGATATCCTAGACGTCGATCAGTAGGTATATTCATTGAAAATGGATTTCCTCAAGAATGGATGTAAGGAAAAATCATATTACCAAGAAATGAACCTCCTTAAGTTTTTAGGACAGAGACTTTTAAACGACACTGTAATATATATCATTATTAATTACCTCGGTTTAATTGAACAAAATCTAGAATATCAAAATGAGAGGTAAGTTGGAATGCTAGTAAATCTAATGTAAGATAAATTAATTATATTTATACTTTGAACCATTGTTCTTTACTATTTCCAGAAACAACAGGGATTATAGGGATAGTTGATGGAACACAATGTAAGAAAACATTCACCTGGTAAGTACCTATATATTTTCTTCAATATTTATCAGCACAAGGTTTCTTATACTTTACAGGGGGTATTGATGGAGAGGTATTTAGAAATAGAAAAGCATTATTTTCCCCAACATTTAAATTACTGGAAATGCTAGTCTTAAAACTATAGACTTGATTGCTTGTTGGCATGGGTCTGTGCATGAAGCCACCATTTTTGGACATTAAGGACCCGCTTGGAGACTGGTGACTTTTCAAATTAAATCCTGCTTGGTTAGTGGTCCGTATATTTATTTACTGTTAGATCATTTATATAAAATATATTCCTTAAATATTTGAGTAGGTATTCAATTCAGAAATATATTACGAATAAGATGAATTGAAAGAAATTTTTTAAAATTAAATATGATAATCTTCAAAGGGTTCATATACTCTATTAAATTATTTTATTATCTGTTATAAGGTGAGATTGCATATGCATTGAGGGGATATATGCAGAAATACAGCTGAAGAAATGTTTCAGAATTATCGTTATATGGAAACGCCACTTTCCAATATGTGTTTTATGGTATAAGCACAGGTATAAGACCAAAATTACAAAATACAATGTCAGTTCTTGTTGCACAACAGTGAGTTAAGAAAAATATTATCTGTTTAATTATAGAACAAAATTTAAAAAATTTAATGTATGTACTTAAATTTTTAGATTTTGTTGTTTCAATGTGCTACACAATACAGCCAGAATGATGCCTGAACAAGAGCTGCCGCCGTTAGATGAAATAAATATGGACCAAATTAATAAGAAGAGAAATAATAAATTATTTTGAAAGATTAGGGCAATATTTTTTTTTAACTTATTCTAAATATGTTTTTATGTTGTATTAAATCTCTTGAGTATTAATTTCTATAAAATATCATTATTAAATGTCTTTTATTCAGAAATAACATACATTACATTTTTTACATTACAATATAAACACTAATTAAAATTATTAAATAAGTTCTCTTTGAGAATTTTACTGTTCTTTTTTATTTCAATGTCAAACAACCCTTTCTTTCTTTAGCTTATGTTCTTCTCTGTTTTGAATACTACTACTTTGAATTTTGCCCATCTCTATATTACAAAAGAACAGCCTTTTGTCTAGTAAATTAATATCTTCCCTTTTCTTCTGTTTCTTTGTAACCATCAGTTTTGTTTTGAGACTGAAAAAATATCTAAATATATTGAATTCTCTTAAAAGTAATAAAAAATTTAAAAACACAATGAAAGGTTAGTACTTACAATACCAGTACTCCTATTAGTTTTAGACAATCTATCACCATCATGTTTTTTAATCCCACAATGCTCTTCTCATTTTTACATTGATTGAATATATTATTACCTTCCGTTTTTGCTTTTTGTATACGTGGACCTCCACCAGTTAGTCAAAATATATTTTAATAATTGATTTTCTTTTACATAGTATTTACACATACGTTGTAAGCTTTCCATACAAATTAGAAAGCCCAAAAATCCCGTTTTTCTTTGTGACTATGGTTGACCTTTCTTTTAAAGTAAGTCCAATAATATACAATTTAATTATTCCAAAATTATTAAAAGTATGTTGTTCTTATATTTTTGATAATTTTTTATATGAATATTTTGTAAATCCATTCTGAGAGTTAAAAATATCAAAAATATTGTTGAAAACTAAATGGAATTTAGAGGCCTCCTAAAGAAAACTCTGGGCCAGTTTATGTATCCCTTATAAAATTCTATGTTTTCGGCGAATAAAATGACAATGTTAAAGCAAAGGATAGTAGCAGAAGATTGGATTTTTGTGTGGCAGGTCCTTTTAACATTCTTTCAAAAATACTTTGTACTGGTTCAGCTAAGGAAGCCTAAAAAACATATATTATCTCTATTAATGTTATATCTCTATAATATTATTATTAGTCTTTTTTTAGACACATCCAAATTCACTAAAGGGTTTTAAAATTTAGACCTGGCCTTGTGATGGAAATTAGAACCTTCCATTAATCGTATTTATGCCACTGTCATATGGATTAGTGTATCATTCACAAAATTAGACCAGAACTAAATTTAAAACTTGTTAATGAATCTTGGGGACAGATTTTGACATAATGGCTGTAGGACTAAATTATTAAATGGCTGATAACTTTACATTATTATAGTTCCCCTCCGCCCGCCACTCAAATATATACATAAAATAGTGTGTCCAAGATAATAATTACAAGCACTGGGATCTCAGAAACAGTAAGAGATACAGCTTCAATTATTAGAAATTGCTTTTAGCGATTTTTACTTGATTTTTATATTTTTTTGGATCCTCACATATAACCTTTGACTTATAACCATTATGTTTTTAAAATGTCACCCTGCATATCTATATTCATACCTGAATGGTCAATTCAGTTGATTCACTTATCAAAGATTTTTCTTTTAAGTAATCAATTAACTGATGCATTGATATTATTTTATTTTTCAATCTTCTAAGACCTATTTGTAAAGTATGTATTTTTCATTTTCTTTGTTTCCAAATTTTTACAAGACTTAAATTTCTACATAATATCATTATAATGCCTCATTAACATACTTCTTTCTGAAATTAAAATAACTTATGCACAATTTTACTTAAGATACAGGGTGGCGCCTCTTAAATGCTACCAAGGAGAAAGAGTTTGTATTGAAATTAAATTTTGGGAGTATATGTAGGTTAATTTAGAGCATTTAAACATATAAATGTGATAAAATATGTGTTTTTTTAAAATATGGAGTTCTACAGGGTGTCGCCAAAAAAGTTACACAACAAAGTTTTGTTTTTTGGAATGGGACACCTTATATATTATTTGATTTTCGGATTCTATGAGAAAAATAAAGGTGAATTTCATTATTGGACTAAAATGTAATTTTATTCCCTTTTATTTGAAATGAACACAGCAAGTTCCCTTTTATTTGAACACCCAGAATACTATTCCGATCTTTTAATTGCAGTGTGCATTCATCAATTAATAGAATGCTTAAGGTCAAATTTTAATTTGGTTAAATATACAATGAGTAAATTTCCATCTAGGTAGCTGTTATTGAAATTTAAAGTTTATTCATTATTTTCACCAAATGTGAAATATGACAAGCCTTACATTTTAGACATATGCTTCTTTAACAAAACTCACTTTTATTTCTTTCCTAGAATCCGAAAATCAATTAATATATAGGTGTTCCATTACAAAAAAAAACTTTGATGCATAACTTTGGGGACACCGCGCAGAACTCTTGATATTTCTATAAAATGCTTTCCATTATCCTACATATGCTCCCAAAATTACATTAACGATAAAAACCACCGTTCTCTTTGGAGCCTCCGCGTCGTAGGAGAGGCACCACCTTGTATATAATGTAGAGGTAATTTTTACCTTTTTCTGATACTTTGACGACTTTCTTGAGATAATAAATATCCAACTATTGAGAGATCAGAAGATGAGGATTGTCTTACTATGCTGTAAACAAACAAAAAAACATTAATAATTAATTTTTCAATAAAACCTATTTTCGTTTTTAATTTTTTCCTAAATACTAATAATTTCCTTCTATAGTATTAAATTTATCATTAAGCGAGAATGTTTTCTAGTGCAAAACAAAAGCTCACTCATAGAAAATATATGTAAACACAAACCAACACTATGGCAAAAATTATGTAGTTTATGATCTTATAATGTGGAAGATAATTCCAAATAACATATCCTTGACAAAACATATAAAATAAAAGATAGCTATGTTAATTATACAGGGTTTCTGGATATTCGACCGATAAAGCTTGACAATGAGAAGCAACAAGTCTCGTATTTTTATAAAAATTAAGATAGGGAGGTAAACCCATAAAGTGCTTAATTAATAAGATACAAAGTGATATTAGTAATGTTATATTACGTTATATTGTTCTATTAGATATTATAACAGCTTCCTTGAAATCTATTACTGCTAATGACATAAACAAAGTGTCCCCTTTTCTGCAAGAAAGATAGAGATGTCAATTTTTAAATAATTAAGACGGCAAACAAGAGCAGAAAAATGTTATTTTGAAAAGCTCAATGTGTCAAAGTATCCCGTCTACTATAGTTACGTCAAAAGTATGATTAAGAATGTATTTAGATTTTTTACCCCAAAAATTGTGTCTACGAAATTTCGCGTCTCTATTTTTTTAAAGAAATACCTGGATATGTCAAAATTAAACTTAGTATTGTGACACCCTGTATGTTAAAAAGTAAATACTTCGCAAGAGGGTGTACACCTGTATTCAATAAGGCACAGTACACTACTTGACAATAATAGTTATAATGAGAGTATTTCATTTAAAATATATTACATACTAGTTGAAGCCTGGCGCATCCGCCACGACATCAGGAAAAAAAATACTTATTTTTTTTAATTAAATGAAAAATAAAAATCCGGCGATGAGCCAATTAGCTATCTTTTTAGTAAAAAAGCAACTTTCTAGAGCAAGTCGTTACTTCAGTAGAGACGACACAGATAAACATTAGCATTTTATATTATTATTATATTATATATATTACTTTGTTATGAATACAGCTATATTCCCATTCTGTTAAAAATACAAGAGCTTTTAAGCCTTGTCAGTCAAACATCCAGAATACACTTACAAAGAGCACATACTGGTTAATTCCAACTTTTTTTTCCAATGCCGTTTCTGTTGTTTTGAGGGAAGGGCTTCTTGAGAAGGGCTAGTTTATCTTGTATGATTTTAGGCAAAATCCTGTGAATTTTAATTATCAATATTAAAATACATGTATAAAATGTATCAATGTTCTTACAAATTTGAGGGGCCAGCCAAACTGCCAATCGCGGGACTAGGTAGGGACCTTCTCTAGTCCCTCAGCTGGTCTGGAGGTTCATTTACCTAAAACATTTTTTGGGTGGCGGTACAAACTAGAAGAAAACCTAGAGTAAATACTAATATTAGTACAATACTTATTTATTAACTGTTAAAATGTATTTGACTGCTTTTTACCTGTATGATAAAGCCCCAGCAAAAATGGTACTATCTATTTGAGGCTCAGAATTTGGTCTTATTTGCCTTCGATCAGTTAATTCGGCGATCATAATATTGCTCTTATCAAAATCATCAGAACAAATTTGGACACACGTTAGTTTGATTTTTCAAATTCAAGAGTGAAATCGATCATTGTCTAAGCTCAGTATTTATAGGAACGCTACAAAAGTACTATTGGTTACATATGCAACACATACATATTAAGTATTATAAATCTATTTAATAATATATGTAAAATAATAAAAATATGGGGTAAAAAAAAAGGAAAAATTAACCTAAAGGAAAAATTTTCCAAGGTTTATTTTCCTCTATTTAAAACACCAGATATGTACTCGTCTGTGAATTGTGTGTGTGGGTGTATAGGTAAGTGTGGGTAAAAGTGTAAAGGGTTCCAAAACTAAAAAAAATATCATAAATGAAAGAGTAAAGAATTATCATAAGTAAGGCTTATCATTATCATTCAAAACAATGCATATTTTTAAGTACTGAAGCATCATTATAATTTTATTTATTTTATTAACTTTTTTAATTTGAATTTTGAATACCTATATCTAAACCTTACCTATTAGGTAATTACTTATAGAATTTTTTATAATAAATAAATAATAGATCTATCATATGTGTTACGGCTAATATCTAAAACCTGCTAATGTTAACTAGAGTTCAATAAACATTGGGGGAGAAATGTGGAAATTATCTAGCCAAAGTCTGAAGTAATTATAAAAATTAAATGTCTTTAATTGAATATTAGCTAACTTTGTCATACTAATTTAGCATACTAAGCACTACTTTAGCATAATAAGGTACATAGTTAATATAGAATATAACTGAATAATTTTGATGTTCAAATCGTGTTCAAATTTCAGGTATTAACTACCTATAACAGCAACAGCTGTTTTATTTCAGCAGATATTAGCCATAACATTAGTGATGGGTTGTTATTTAACTATCTGTTATTTTATAACAATTATTTAGAAATAACATAACGCAACCGTTACTGCTTTTAAAAAATAACAGATATAAAATAACAACACGCAGAGATCGAGCGTTCGTGAAACGAAGTCGGCGCTCTGCACCGCCACGAAATTCGATGCTGTTCGAAGCAATTCTAAAAAACAACTAGTATGGATGGAAAACCTATTATTTCGACAACCATCGATACAGGCGGCGAGATACAACGGACAACGGAGTGGGGTATGCGCTACGGCGCGGCGCGTCGTGTTGGGCTGACAACAGCTTAAAAATAATAGAATATAAAAGAAGCAGCTTTTTTGAAACAGTTGCGGGCATAACGCCTGGCTGTCGAGATAACAGGAGTGGGAAAGGAGCGTTGCTGCATCGGTCGATTGTCGATGGAGGCTCGCAACGGGTTGGAGAATAACGCATCAGTTGTTTTAGCTATGTTGTTTTTTTACCTGTTACGAGCATAACAGAACGGCGTTCGAGATAATCGGAGGTTTGAAACAGGTTGGAGAATAACGCCATCAGTTGTTTTAGATACATATTGTTTTTCAACCTGTTACGAGCATAACGGGCGGAGGTCGAGATATTATGGCGCTGTATGTTTCAATACTTTGTTATTAAGTTTCAATATTTAAGTATTTATTTATTCTGAAAAATTTTCAGAATAATATTTTAAGATTTTTTAAAAATGTATACAGGGTGTTTTAAAAAATCTGGTCATTGATTAATCACGATCCTGCTTAAAGCCCTTGACGTAAAAGCTGATTTTGGAAAACGGATTGACTTTAGGGTGTAGAGGTGCGATAAGAAGGGATTTTCGAAACTCAAATTCTAAGGGGTGAAACCACCATCAAATATTAGAATATTTTTTATTTAAAAACTGGTGAGTTTTTCAGAAAAAACTCTTAAACACGTATATTTTATTTTGTTGTTTCACATATTTTGAGATTTTTACAAAATATATACAGGGTGTTTCATAAAAATATGACCACTGAGTAATCACTATTCTGCTTAAACTGCTTGACGTTTAAAGCTGATTTTTAGTAAACGGATTGACTGTGGGGTGTAGAGGTGCGATAAGGAGGGGTTTCTCAGATCTCAAATTCCAAGAGGGTGAAAACGCCCTCAAATATTACAATATTTATTATTTAAAAACGGTTAGTCTTTCGGGAAAACGATTGGACACGCAATTTATTTTGTTTTTTTACGTATTTTGAAATTTTTAAAAAATAATACAGGGTGTTCCAAAAAGTTGAGTAATTGATTAACCACGATTCTGCTTAAACTGCTCGACGTTTAAAGCATATTTTTGGCAAATGTGAAAAATTTTATCCAGTTTGTATGTTAATGGAAATTCTTGCTTTGCTTTATCATCACCATTACAAATTAATAATTCGACGAGAACGAAGTCGCGGGTACAACTTAACAAGTATAGCTAGAGACGTGAGAAATATAAATAAAGAGACGCCCTCGATGCGCAGTGGACATCCCACAAATTTGCTTCAATCAGCTTTTTCGTAGCGTAACTGCATCTCTCTTCCGCCGAATGCGTTCTCTCTCTCTATCGTGTGCGCGACCGGTGCTATCCCCAAGTCTCTTCCTATATTTGTCAAACTGTACATGCTAGTTTAAGTGTAAAATTAATTCGAACTCTAGTGTGTAGTTGGTTTTACTTATGAAGAATATACTACACATTTTCTTATATTGCTATTTTTGACCGCAAATGGTAAAATCATAACGAAGAGCTTCTCGCCCGTCGAGTGAGATGCACTCTGTACACAGCTACGCAATTCAGAATCTACGCGGATCGAGGGGTAGGGCGTAGGTAGATCGGAATTTATAGATATAGACAGAGTGGCGGCATTTTGGCTTTTTATATCGCAATTTGTAAACAGCGCTTATTTGTAAACAACCCCCCGTTTTTAGAGAGGTATTTTAGATAACAATCGATATTTAGAAATGTTATGACACCCTGGAAATACTACCACCGAGCACGTCATTGTTGCAACTGCGTTAATACGCCTGGCGGTGACCGCCTCATATTCTTTCAGATATTTAGCAATAAAATAAAGAAACCTGTTATTTTTAAGCTGTTATTTTAAGCTGTTTTTTATAAATAACTATAACAGTTTCAACTGTTATCTAAAAATAACAGTTTTGCCCATCACTACATAACATACACAATTTTTAAGATATTTATAGCGGTTTCGAATGTTAGTTGGTACTTAGATATATAATATAAAAAAGGTTTTTAAATGTTAAGTTGAGAACAGCTAGTATTACCCCTGAGCATTTTTTACCACCAACTGTAACAGCGAAATGGACAAATACATAAAATAATTGACTTAAAACGTAGATCGGTTTTGCCAAGGTTTTGCCTGAGGTCTAACTAAGGATAAGTCTAATTTCACAATCAAAAACGCCAGCAAATAAGAAAATATACGTATTTTTGTAATAATCTACTTATAACTAAAAGTACTTAGATACGCTACTGTAAAGGCATTGCTAAAGGTAAAAAATGTAATAACACTTACCGTCCAAATATCAATCAGGAGTTAGAATAGTCCACCTTTAACAAACTATGCACTGGCGAACCATTGTAGATAGTTAAAAAACTACTTTAAATAGTTTTCTTTGCAATAAACACTAATAATTATTCGAAAGTTGTCCGAAATCCACAAACACTTCCAACGGTCGCAGAAAACTCGCAACAATGCTCCGTTGGACAAAAGTTGAATGAATACGTCAAATGTCAGCGTAATTTCTACAGATTCCGACAATTCGTAGTAAAAATTAATCCGTAGCGATGCCGGATTGTCTTAGTAATTTCCCTAACATATTTTAATCGTAATTTTAATATAATTTAATTAGAAAACTAATAATAATTTCAAAGGTATAATCCTAGTATAATTAATGTATTATAATTAAAATTATATATCTACACAAATATTTAGTCTAATGACCTTGTAATGACAATAGCATTTAGAACTCAAACCGTAATCAGCCGAAATCTACCACCGGTCACTTAAAATTGGCATCATCGATTTTTGTGCAACACGGTTCCTGATCGCGGTAAAATGTAAATTGTTTCGTCTCCTTTTATTTAGATGTCTTTGGTCATATTTCATGGTTTCGATATAAATGACATAATAAACTTTCTCTATTGTTGACTCGCCTTGTACATTCATACTGATATACCTTGTACATGATACTGAAATATTCGGATTTATTAAAAAAAATATATTATTAAAATTCAATTTTTATTTTTGACACGACAAAGAATTGCAGTTTTATAAAATAAAAATTATGCGCCTTTCGGATTTTTTAAAAATTTTAGAGGTTACTAGATATTTCGTATTAAACATGTAGCTGCTATATTAAAAATATTTTGTGGTGTGTTGTTGCATAACTGACTAATTTCCAAGCATCGAATGGACGAAGGAAGGAAGCGAAGGGACGAAGCAACGCGAGGAAGTAACGCGAGGAAGGAGCGAAGTGTGAGTATGGGGCTTTAAACGACAAAAAGAAAACCCAAAAGGAAGCCGAAAAAATAGATGCGGTTAAACTGGTCTTGGGTTTAATCACTTATCTAAGCAAAATTTATTCGAAAAATTATATTAGCTGATTGGTCTATTTCACGATGAGGGAAATAATCAGTTATTAAAAAGGTCTATTAGAAAACACCTTCACACCCTATATCTTTAAAATGATACTTTTCGGGACACATGTTTATATTAACTTTTTACCTTAAAACACTCAAAGAATCACCTCCTGAAATTTGGCCAGATACTTAATTAACACCCTGCATTTAAAAATGGCTAGCTAGTGATCTAATGAGCTATGTTTATTTTAATGGGAAAAAAATACCATTTCATAAAAAAATAAACAAACTCATAATACAAATACTATACACTCATTAATTCATTTTAAATGTATCTAAATAGGCACTTTAATAATTGAAAAATGGTCAGGAGCACTTAAAATCACTTCATAGAATATACCATATATGCAAAAAAAAAATCCAATAAAAAAACACAAATGGCACATTAAACTCTAACCGGTAGTACCTAAACGGCTAATAAAATAATAGTGACAAGACTAAACAGGGGCGGATACAGGAATTCATTTTATGGGGGCCCGAAATTTATTTTAGGGGGGCCCAAATAAAAAGTAACGTAGTATTTGCTTTTTAGATCACAATTTTTAACCCAAAAGCCTAATTTTAACCCAACTTATAGATTTTAGGCTGAGACTAAATAAAAGTGACAAGACGCCGACATCGATAACGCGATAAGCAGTTTTAAATAATTATATTATTCCGAGTTATTATTACATACGTGTTTTACAATTATTGTAATACAGTAGCATTCCTTCAAATAAATTTTAATTTAAGTATTGTTAATATAGTCATATTAATGATTATAGCCTGTATGATTTCTAAAATAAAAAAATCAAGCGTGTTTTTATCAGAATTATTAAATGATTAAAAATAAGTAGAAATAGTTAATATTTATTAACTTCGTAAGTGGTTATATTTTAATATAATTAGGGACTATCTTAAGTTTAAATTATAGTAAACTTGTATGAGTTTCAATCATTTATATTTAAAATGTTAGGAAAGACAATATAGATTTTAGGTAAGAGAACTCAAGGGAAGGACTGTGTAACTAGTAATTAAAACTTAACAATTTTTTTTACTTGATATTTTTCTGGTCGTTCACGTTATACTTTGACTCTTCGTTGTGTCACACACAATCTAAATTTCGGATATGATGCAGAACTGATAAATTGGATCAAATATATTAATTGTAAGGTATGCAAAGACTTACTTTTTTTTAACTTTGTACTACTACTTTTGTTAACTTTGCAAATACTTAAGGCATGCAATAGTTTTAAAAAATTTTGATGTAAGATTACTTCATAATTCTTCGAAGTCTTGAATGATAAAGATTTGAATGATTATGGGTCTGTTTTGTTTAAGAAGCGAACAAATAATTTCAAAAACTCAACTATCAAAATAATTTGGTAGCAAATTTTTAAAAGTATGCATAGGTATAATGTTCTATATTAATTGGACATACTGAATGTAAACTAGGTATAGTTGCTGCAATCGATAATATATTTTGCTGCTTATTTTCAGCACAACAAAATCCGTTATGATGAAACGAAAAAAAATACCGCTGCTCATATTATGGGCACCTATGTATTTTTAATTTCATAATGATGTTTAAATATACATAGGTACATACTATGAGTAGCGGTTGTGACGGTTTTTTATTAGGTATGATGATAAGAAGCTGCAAACTAAATTATCGTTGGAGCCAACTATATTTTAATTTATTTTTATCTACAGTAACTATGCACGGTAGGGGTTCAAAATATGCCTATACTGTGAGGCAACTCCATTCGAGTATAAATTAACATTTACATTCCAAGTATCTTCTTGGTCTACCGGCACCCCGTTCACCCTTATTCCCTCATTTCTATAAAAAAATATTATGATTTATAACTTTTAATTTTTATTGTGAAAATTGGTGAAAAGTAATTTTTTTGTACGGCGAATTTAAATTTATGGGCTATCCATAAATTTAAATTTACACCTAAGTTCGAATGTTCGAAAGCCATCACGATAAAAATCAAATATCAAAATTATTTAACGTTGCGAAAGTTAAACTTGTTCACTATACGTATCTGGAATATATTTGTGAATAGCGATCAATGATATGTTTACGTTAGACTGCCGGAGTGCTGACGTCACGAATGTCAAATTGCTTTTCAAACAAGGTTTAGTTCTTTTATATTTCTATTGAGCTCTTCCAAATGACGCCACAAGTTAATATAAAATGTAAAAAAAACAGGTGATTGTCGACAACCGCCGACTTGTGTCTGGTATTTTCAATACGCCTATGATGGTTGGGCATGTTGCAAAATCTGTGAATTTTTTAAATTTCGACAGCAGCTCTCGGTACGCCAGAAATCAGAACTTTCGGGTTGTACATAACTTTTTTTCGGCTATAACTCAGTAATTTTGTGAAAAAAAATATTATAGCTTACATCGCTGTAAAGCTTAAAAATGGCGCTTTTTATGAAGTCATGGCCAACTATGGTTTCCATTTAAAAAAACATATGTTTGTGTCATATGTCAAAAATGATAGGCTTTAGAAAAAAAAATCGGAGAACACAAACTCATTCGGGATGTGATTATCTACAACTTTTATCTGAAAACTTTTTGTCTAAAATAGGTTATAATGGAATTAGGGACAATTTTTAAAATAGTAAGCCATGAACTTTCTCAAAAATCTGAAAGGCGCATATTTATGACCCCACAAAACTGCAATTCTTTTCCCATTTAACAGACTCTCTATCTCCAGTAGTCTCCGAGGTGCCCATAGAGAACGTCGTAGGAAACTCACCCTGTCATCATGAATGATCTTAAATTCCATATAATTTTTCAATAAAAAAATTGTCTATTTCTAGTAATAGAATTAAAATATTCCGTCACAGTAGTAGGAAAATGATTTTGTAAAGCAAACGACGAGACTTTAATTTCTTGCTTCAACGTTTTTCAATTGGATATTTTAATATTCTCATTTGAATATAATTAAACCTAATATACCAATAAGTGAAAATTTCCTATCGAACTAAAAGTAAATTTTCCAAGTTATTTTAAGCATGAAAAGGAGACCTTAAAAATACATTTAACTGTTAGCGTTCCAAAATTATCATCAAAGAAGTGACATTAACCTATTTTTTCAATTTACGCCAGTGTAATAAAAACCTGACGTTTAAATGATTTCAAGCAAAACAACTTTGAATATTTGGGATGCTTTTTTCTAGAAATATCGCAGAATAACTATATTTAATTTCGATCTGTATGTTCAGGGTGTCCCATTTTCCTGATGTGTTTTTATGGTTATAGATGTGGGTAGTTTTCACCTTTCCCGTACCTACTTTTTTTTTTTACACTTGGATAGAAATGGAAGTGGACGATAGCAAATATTTAAGTTTGAATAAAAAAAAACCATACAAAGAGAAAAACTTACTAGATATATTATCATTACTGTAACTAGCTGATGAACTACATTCTTATAAACTAATCAAACCGAATTAGGGATTATATACAGGGTGGCCCATCGAAAACGTTCCGCATAACGGCTAGGATATTCTTTTTTTCACAAAATCCAAAAACACGTCAATTTTGTTTGTGAGGGGGACAACTTTTGCCCCAAAAATGATTGCAAAATCTTCAACCCTCTGAGCGGGGGTGTCATCCCCCAACTTTTTTCAAATGGGAAGGGGGGTCAAGTGGCGCCGCAATGAAAAGAGCTTTCTATTCTCTATATTTCCCCGCCTCTTTTTTGAAAATCGGTCGAGGCATTGAGAAAATATGAAGGATTGAAATTTGAAAAGTTTATTTAAACATTTATCAGAGTAAATGATAAGGATAAATTCCTTCGACCAATTTGAATTTTTTTCTTATTATTTCTAGATGTTTACCGCATTTTTTCACTTGCCACAAGGTTGAACGATCAGGTGCGGTAGTTGCTAGATAGCTGTTCTGTGACTTGTGCGTTAAAGTTCTTCTCAATATCGTTAAACTGACCTACAATAGAATTTCCAAAAATACCAGCCCACACGTTCAATTTCTGAGGGTGTGTTCGTGAAAAACCCTGGGGTTGTACTCAGCCCAGTACCGACAGTTGTGCCGATTAACTACATCGTTCAAAAAGAAAGTACACTCATCCGAAAAACACACATTAAATAGGAAATTATTATCATTCGCCACTCGTTCACTCATAGTTTCACAAAATTGCAAGCTACGATCAAAATTGTCTTCGTTGAGTTCTTGT